CAGTTTAGTCTTATCACCAAGTCCCTTTAAATTAAACTGTCAATATTAAAAACATAAAGTAACTCTTTAAATAAAGACTTTTCTCATGAAAAGTATGAAATTGCTTTTTCTTTTTTAAAAAAGAATAAATCACCTGGTTTCGATGACGTTTCTAGTAATATAGTTATTTTTAACAAAAAATCTCCAAACCTTTGTTCCATATTATAAAACTTTCAATAAAAAAAGGAATTTTTCCTGAAGCATTAAAGTTGGCAAAAGAATATCCAATTTACAAAATTTATGATCAATCTGAAATCTCTAATTATAGACCTGTACAGTACTTTAAGTATTTTCAAAAATATTTGAACGTGTAATTTATAATAGAATCTATAACCATTTTAATGAAAATAATTTATTTTACACAAAACAGTTTGGTTTTCGGAAAAAGCATTCAACAGAACACGCATTAATTGAAATAGTAGACCAAATGACTAAAGGATTTGAAAATAATAGCTTCACTTTAGGATTATTTATTGACCTATCAAAAGCATTTGATACGGTTAATCACCTAATTCTTTTGGAAAAAATAAAACACTACGGAGTGATAAATAAAACCCATGATTGGTTAAAAAGCTACCTCACTGAAAGAAAACAATATGTTATTAGTAAGGAATCAGGTCAACTAAAAATTTTTTGTGGAGTTCCACAAGGGTCAATTCTTGGCCATTGCTTTTCTTGATTTATGGTAAATGATTTAAATAATGCATCAGCAATGCTTAACTCAATAATGTTTGCTGACGACACAAATCTCTTCCTTTCAAACTGTGACATTAATCAACTGTATTCCGACATGAACTCTGAACTAATGAATGTCGATAAATGGTTTAAGGCAAATAAACTTTCACTCAATGTAGATTAAACAAAATCTACTTTATTTCATAAAAAATTACAAGATAAAAAACTTCCTTCAAAATTACCTGATTTGATTTTAAATAATACACTAATTAATAAAAATGATTCAATAAAATTCTTAGGAATTCTTATTGATGAAAATTTATCATGGCTTCCCCATATTAACTATATTCAATCAAAAATTAGTAAAACAATTGGTTTGGCCTAATACATTATCTCGTATACTATGCCAATATCACGTGGGCTAGTATTCAACCAACAAAACTTAAAAAAATATTTTCTCTACAAAAACATGCATGCAGACTATGCATGTTCATATTTTATATATATATATATATATATATATATATATATATATATATATATATATATACATATATATATATACATATATATATATATATATATATATATATATATATATATATATATATATATATATATATATATATATATATATATATATATATATATATATATATATATATAAATTTTGCATGTTTGATTTTGCATGTTAAATTTTGCATTTTGCATGTTCATATTTTATATATATATATATATATATATATATATATATATATATATATATATATATATATATATATATATATATATATATATATATATATATATATATATATATATATATATATATATATATATATAAAATATGAACATGCAAAACCATTATTGGAAGACATGCACATAATTTTTATGTATAAATGCAACAACAGCTTGATTCCAAAAAACTTTAATGTCATTAAATTTATCATTAATAATGATAAATTTACAAAAAATGTAAACAAAAAGTATTCTCTTAGAATAAACCAATGGAATACTTATAAATTACTAAGAATTAATAGTAAGTATTCTGAATATGGAATATAATACCGCGGACCAAAACTATGGAACACTTTTCAAAAAACAAAAAATTTAAATACTGTAAAATCATTAAATTCCTTTATGTTTATAATAAAAAATGAAATTCTTAAAATAGGTAAATAGTTTTCTTGAATTTTCGAAATGAAAATCGAGTTCCATTATTCTTAGTTTTTTACTTGTTAATTGGCTCTTATTTTGATAATTAACAGAATTGCCAGTATATTTTAATGAATATTGATAAAACTATATGATATTATTTACTTTCTTGATTTAATGGAAATATTTATGCAAGCTTTAACCTTTTTATTATATTGAAGATCCTATTTTTTTTTTAACTTGTAAAGCCCACCTAGGGGCTTTATGAAAAGATTGTGGTGACTTTAGTCATCCATATCTTCTTTGAGCCCCTGCCTGTTTTTTATAAATCCACTTTTTTGTGTGTAAACGTTTCTTTTTAATTATATTTCTTATTATATAAACAGCAAATATAAATTAAAAATAAATAAATAAACATTAAATACAATGTTGCGTTAATATAAAATAACTTTAAATAAAATGTAACGTTAAGTAAAAAATAAAATAAAAACATATTTTACGCTATGTTAGAGTGTAATATATCCAAAAATATACGAAAAATTTTTTATTTAATAATTTAATTAAATTCATTTTTCCTAACTGGTTTTAGATTTATAAACCTTTTGAATTTAAATCACAAAATAACAGATAATACACAAATAACAAACAAAACAAAAAAAAAACTTTTAAAAAGATTTGTAGTAATTTAATGTGTTTTTTATATATGTTTTTTTACATGTTTTTTATTAAAGTTTATGATATCAAATGTTATATCAAATAAAAAAACAACGTCATAATGTACAAATTGACTAACAGTATATATAGAATATATATTTAAACCATATTTATAAAGAAATAAAATAAATAGACAAACGTGATTACTCCTAGTCAAAGGCTTCAGAAAAATTTTAATTCTTTGTTATTTATTAAAAGCTTTTGCTTAACAGGGCGAATTTTTTTTTGATTGATTTTCTCCCACTTGCTATGATTTAGTGTTGCAAAGGTAAAATTTACCGGAAAATTTACCGGAAAATATATCGGAAAATTTTGAAAATTTACCGCCTGGTAAATTTTAAATTTTTTTTTCACTTCTTATTTTTCACTTCTTTTTTTTTTTTAAATTTTTCAAAGGAAAATTTACCGTTCTCTAATTAAAATTTACCGGTAAATTTACCGGTAAATTTTACAGGTAAATTTTGAATCAAATTTTATTAGAAAATTTACATCACTGCTATGATTACGAAATTTTCGGATACGGATGTTACGAAAACAGTTTGTTTTATTTTTACGCGCCAATTTTCTCCGAATAACCTATTAAAAAATTCATAATGGTTTCTGAACTACCTTTTTACCGATAAACTAACTTACTATCAAACTCGTGGATAGACACCATCCATGATGCATCTTATGATCTAAAAATTCACACATGGCTTCATAATGTGTCTAAAATTCCAGTTTACAACATATACCTTCTGATAACTGATATTGTAAATATATACGTATTTCATTAAAAAAACAGTGATTTTTATGTCAATTTTACTTAAAACTACTATTTAACTGTAATATAGACATATAGTTGTAAACTGGAATTTGAGATCCAATTGAAATTTATCTTTATAATATTGATAGTTAAAGAAACCGTCATTTAGTCTATCCAGCTGATTATTTCTAGTTTTAGTACTAGTTTTTTAAATAAATTGAATTTCAATATCTATATAGCTTTTAAAGAGCAGATTTTATAAAAAACCACACGATATATATTTACACTTAAAAACACATACTATACAAAAATACATAAATATATATCTAAAAATACATAAATATATATCTATTGCCCCAATTCAATGATAAAGATCGTAATTCTTTGCAACTTTTTATCAAAATTAAAAAATTGCGGACGTTTTTGACCGAATTTCGTATTTCTCAAAATAAAGCTATGGGAATTTTTAAGGCAAAAAAAATCGCCGTGTAAGTTTGTTTTTAAAATGTTTAGTAAAAGAAATAGTTTTTAACTCTTTATTCAATTGCGTGTTCCATAGTTTAGGACCTCTGTTTCCAATTGAAAACTTAGTAACAGAGTAAACCTATTACTCTGTTACTTGAATATAATTATATTGTATTACTCTGTAGATTGAATATAATTGTTTTCTGAAAATCGTGTTGGGTATGGATGATTTATTTTTTCCAAAAATGAGTCAAACATATAGGTGATATTTTTTTATTAACTTTGAACATAAAAATAAGAATTTGATAAAGATTTAGTTAAAATACGTTGAGAATATTAAATATAATGAATAGAGGTTTAGAGTGTGAGAAACGATCTAGATTTCCAATAATTCTTAAATCATACTTTTGTTTAATTAATAGTTTATTTATTTTAGTTGCATTTATGCTACACCAGGCAACGTTTGCATAACTTAGTTAGCTATAAATAAATGAAAAATAAATGTATTTTAAACAGGTTTAATTAAATAACAGCTTAGCTTTGTAAAGTAGACCAATATTTTTCGAAATTTAATTGTGAATTATATTTATGTGCTCCTTCCAACTCACATTTTTATCAATAACAACACCAAGAAATAACAACAAACGCTCTCTTACTATACAAGAGTTATTTACAACTAACTGGGATAAGTCTCTTTTCATGAAGACAATGGAAGAAAGTATGTTTTGTTCTTTTTATGTTACGGATAATTTATTTGCTATGAACCATTCGCTTAGTTGTGCAACCTCTTTAATTAATGCTATTTTCATTTTTAATTATGGAATTATACTGCGGTAGAGCTATAATTAAGCGGTCTAAAATAATTTATATATATATTAAATAAAGAATACTTATTGGCATCAATTCATACATCAACTATCTTATGGCCTGCTGCTACAAGGAAGTGTTTTTACATCGACTACTTTATAGTCTTATTCTACAAAGAAGTGCCGCTAAATCGACTGATGGTTTTGTATGGGTCAGCAATCTTTTATCTTTTATTATTTCAATTAATATTCCGAATGTTTAAAAAGCTTCTACTGACGAGAACGTACTAAGCGAAAAAAATAGATTTATTTTAGACTTTTTAGCTGTAGTTTTACCGTTTACTGATACTAAAACTACTACTAATAATAATAAAAATGATAATAAAATTGAAATAAAATACCTGTTCTTTGCGTATACTTAAGAAAGAGTTGGTTGTAATAACTGAACTGAAAGACGCAGTTAATGAAGAAATAATAATTATGCTTATAATTATCCATATCGTTGATAGAAACCGACCAATTACTGATTTTGGAACTATATCGCCATATCTAAAAAAATGTTTATCTTAGAGATAGACAGGAAATGCTCTTCAACAAAGTCATTTTCAGCATAAGACAATAAAATATAACTTATATTACAATAACTTAGGGCCATCAAATATAACTTATATTACAATAACTTAGGGCCATCAATATACCATGTAATCCTATGGAAAGGATTTTTTTTTTTTAGAAAATTCAATATATAGAGGAATTTACTTTTTAAATAATATTTATTTATTTTGTATAAAAGATTTTTAGAAATCAGCAGCATAAGAGTATTTTAAACATGAAACATTTTCTCATTCCGTCAACTCCGTTACTTAAATTTTGTCCTACAGCTATAAAAACGCAATTCTTGTGCAATTAACATAATAAAACAGACTGCGTGTAGAAATACTTATGGTTAATATAAACTAACACTTTATCTGATATTCTCAACTAAAGTTTAAAATTTTGTGTGCAAATTGTTAACACAATTGTCCACTCCGTAGATGTCCTGCATCTAGGACTATATTGTTATACACATTTTTTTTTTCTTTTGTATTAAGGCTAATAGTGGCTATAATTTTGTGTTTTAGACATGCTAATATACGTTATTTTAATAAATGTAATAATTTACATCTTATCCTGTTGTAGCTCTTGCCTTGTAGTTTTGTCAAAAAATTGCTGTCCCTAAATTTTTTGTCCACTCCGTTATTACATTCTAAAATAGTCACTGGTTTGTAGCTTTTACTTATTTACAAATCAAAATAATGAAAAAAAGTCCAGTTCTATGGAATTTATTTACATATAAAGTTGTATCTGGCTGCAAGCATTTTTTATATAAAAATCAGAGTCTAAAAACCTTATTGATATACTTATTCGCAGCCTACTCCGTTACGATTTTTTATTCCGTAAAATATCAAATTTTTATAGGACGTGTTTTAGTACTCTTTAAATCTTTTGGACAATTAAACAATAAAAAATTTTAAATACGTTCTCAAATTAGTAATAATCAGATACTGTTCATTATGTATACATATGTCTACTTCGTTTCGGTCAACTCCGTGGTTTCTTCTTAATAACGGATACATAATCTTTTGATTTGCTTTAAAACAAATCAAAAGATTTAAACTAAGTCATTTTCTGCATTGAATAAACACGTCAACCATTAGGGAAAAACTGCAACCATGAAATATGATTACCTTGCAGCGTATATATATTCGCTGCATTCTTTTACTTTCAAGCGGTTGTAAGAAATAGAATAATTTGTTTAATTGTAAGTATTTTAGTATTAGGATTTAGCATTTGTTGTTTGGTTTATATTTATATTTGACTCTTAATTATTTGGCTTTTAAAATAAATGTATATCCTGAATCATTTTAGCAATAATAATAAATAAACTTTTGGTGTATTACAATTACAATTATTATACTATTTTCCTAAAGAAATACATCTAAGCATATAACATGAAAACTTTAAAGAAATCTCGTGCTGAAATTCAAAAGGCATTTCGGGACAGACAATTAGAAAAAAATGCAGACACTGTTCGTGAAAAAGAACGCAAACGTCGGCATATGCGGCGTAAGCAAAAGAAGATTAAAGTGATATCAGAGTTAGCAGAAAGAAAAAAACGAATTGTTCGTCGTCGTTGGCGCAACCAGAAAGCAAAATCTAGAGCTGTAAAATGGAAGATTGAAACACATTGTTATCAGAGTCACCGGTAAACGAGTTGAGTAGCAATAACGAATGCAAACAAAGAGGTAGAGCAAAGGTTGCTTACCGAAAAACAAAGGCTTATAGACAAATACAAGCATTGATGAAAGAGTTGGAAACGGTTAATTATTCAGTCAAAAAAATACAAAAAACGTTGGTTAATGCTTAAATGTTCCCTGCCTGGTTCACAAACAAATTCACCTACAACCACTAAATCTCCTAAAATCCCTAATTCTTCTCTGTCATCAATAAGTACAACTCCAAACAGCGAGGGCCATCGCGGTAATGCATCGCTTGATCTTGAAACACAGGATTTAATCAGAGAGTTTCTTACGGGTGATGACAATTCTAGAACAACAACTGGAAAGAAACAGACTGTAACAAAAAATAAAGATAAAAAACAATAGCGACTACTACTCGATTTATGAATAAACTTTTATGAAAAATTCAGCGCGTAATATACGAGTAACAATATTTCAGATATGACATTTACTCGTTACCGTCCATTTTTTGTCCACAAACCGTCTGCTAAAGATAGACATATCTTTAGCAGAAAAGAGACACATATCTGTGCAAAAAATACGAGAACATACAATTACTTTGTGATAAACTTATTAACCAGAGTGTTTTGAAAGAAAAAAATATTGAAGAAGTAGAGAAATAAGTTTGTTGTAGTACTGATAGTTAAGAATGCATGTTCAGAGAATGTAACATTTGTTTGGACTATCGTGTTCAATTTCAAGCAAAAGGATTGGTAAAAGATTAAAGTATTATAGTTTGGTTCCAGTGGGAAAAAGAGAAACAGGAATATGAAAAGAAGGGAGAAAAAAAAACAGCAAATGTTATCAAGAAAAGTGTAAAGCGTGGAACACTTAAAGAACTTAAATTAAAATTCTGTGGATCAATTCGAAACGAGCTATGCAAGCATGTTTTTATAATAAGACACCAGTTCAGAATGTAAAAATATTTAAAAGAAACAGTAAATATGAACGAAGCTATTATACATATAGATTTTTTTGAGAACTATGTGTGCCAGAATTTTGCTGCAATTCAATCTTTACATTTTTGAGCAAGTAACAAACAAGCTACATTACATACCGGAGTAATTTATAAAATGGATGGACATCAGTCATTTACAACAATATCTGACTCTTTGAGATACGATCCTCCTTCTATATGGGCACATATGGAACCCGTGCTAATTAAACTCAAGTTAGATAACCCACAAATTACAGATCTTCATTTTTTTTCTGATGGACCAACCACGCCATATAGGAATAAGCAAAACTTCTTCTTATTCTCAACAGTGCTGTACGAATTAAAATTTCAATTAGCCAGTTGTAATTTTTTTGAAAGTAGACATGGCAAGGGAGCGCCAGATGCGATAGGAAGATCTGTGAAACGTCAGGCGGATTAATTGGTTAATATGGGCTGTGATCTTCCAGATGCAGAAAGTTTATACAATTTTCTAAACACTGTAGACTCATTAATAAAGTTTTACTTTATCGAGGGATCCAAAATTACTCCTTTTGACTCAAGATGTTTCAAAACATTAAAGGCCATTACAGGTACTATGAAGTTGCATCAGCTGCACACAGACAGAGTACTTAGTGTTTTGTATCGAAATTTAAGCTGCTTCTGTAGGAGAACTTCAGTTTGCTACAATTTAAAGCGATGTTTTTCAAATGCACTAGCATGGTAAACAAATATTTTTGTATTTTATTATTTTGGTAATTTATTTGTTTCTATAGTAATTAAATCTAATTTAAGAAATTCATGATGCAAAGTTTGTGAGAGTACTACCTCGGCTAATACAAAGGTCAATGATTACCAATTTCAACATTTAAGCAGCAGTATCATTGATCTGGTTAATTTCGATGAAAATTTGAATATCTTGTAGATTAAAGCAAATGATGTTGTAAGCGATCACAAATTTCTTCATATTAATGATGTATGGTATTCAGGGCTGTGGAGTCGGAACCGGAGTTGCGGAGTTGCGACATTTTTAGCGGAGTCGAAGTCGGAGTCGATAAACAGAATTGCGACACCGACTAAAATAGTAAAACTTTTCGGTATTGCACGTGTATGTAAAAAACATTCAATTAACCTTATGTTCATAGTAAACCTCAAAGGACTTTTCATAAACTTGTGAAAAAAATTTTTTTAACTTATCGCGTAATATCTTTTTAAGAATTCAAATAATTTTTCAACAATTTTGCTTTGGAGTTGGAGTCAGAGTCAGAGTTGGAGTTGGAGTCGGAGTTGTACTTAAAATATTTCAACAACTAGAGTGGGAGTTGTTACATCAGGTAATGATTGGAATACCAATCATTACCTGATGGTAATGATTGGTATTCCAGTAACGGAGCGGACAGTATTTGTACAATTTTTTTTTTTACAAGACGCTTTATCTTTTTTTTAAAGACAATGTACTGACTTTTTATGTATACTAAGATTTTCTCTTTAATCTGAAATGTAACTTTGACTATTTTGCTTTTAAATAATAAATAATTAGCAAATGTCGGTAACGGAGCAGACATTGTCATATAAAATAACTTTTTCATGTTAATAAATTTGGGCACTATTCTTAACATGTATGCTGTAGTTATAATACCAAATATATTTCATTACAAAAATAGAATTTGTTACAAAAATAATAATAGTTCACAGATATAGTTACATAGATGTTATGGTAACGGAGTGGAAAAAATTATTGGAACTCATTACTTGACGATATCCAAAAACATTAAAAAAAATAGATAAGTGCAAAACTAAATCTATTTTCTACATCCCTAATGATTAAAATTAAAGTATTTTTAAAAGTTTTATAGATAGCGCAAACTTTATTTTCATGCAACATTAGTTGCGACAAAACCGTTTAATGAAAAATTGACTCATATAAAAAACAGCAATATAAGTCTTATTGGTCTAAGCGGCCTAAAATAATTTTATTTTTTCGCTTGTTGCGCTCTTGTCAGTGGAGGCTTTTAAACATTCGGATCATTAATTGAAATAATAAAAGAAAAATATTCCTGTCCCATGTCAAACCCTCAGTCGATGTAGCAGCACTTCCTTGTAGCAGCAGGCTATAAGATAGTCGACGTATGTACTGAAGTCAATAAATTTCCTTATGCTTATATTAAAAAGTTACCACACATCAAATAAAATTATTTTAGACCGCTTAACTGTAGCTTTACTAGTCGTTTTTTTTAACAATTATTTTATTTCTTTAAATCATCGGATATTTTTAATTCAAAAGTAAAACAAAGTTTTACAACTGTTCCATATAATTAACAATATAAAAAACTCCG